ATAATGAAAATTTGACTACTAGCCACAGATTCAAAGATATTCATCAAAAATCCAGCTGAGGGCTATTGCGTTGAGCGCAGCAGGAGGTTTGAATAAGTTGCGCATGGCGCCAATCACGTGACTCATGGCACTGTCGCAGGGAGGGTAACAGCTGACGCGTTGCGCCGACTGCTCCGAAATTGCTATTATAATTTATAATAAATTAACGGTACATTTTGGGCTATAAGTTCCTAACTCCCCCCGATAGGACATTTTCTCAGCTACAAAGAAATTTTTTTTTTTCCCCATCTGATGAGGTTAACTAAAGATATCTAAGATTGAAGACAGCCTGTCGGCAATTCCCAATTGTTTATAACAAATTGTGAATCACCCCGGCAAATTTAAGCATATACTTTTTAAAACATTAATAATTACACTTTTAGCTATCGATTGGGGTAATTTGGTGCCCGTTGGTTAATTTCGATGTTAAAAATCTAATTTGACTGGACTAACACTAGACTTGCGTCTAATCCACTCGGCCACCGACGTCGGTCGCTGATTTTTTATAATCTAAAAAAAATTAATTTCGGGGAAAATACATGATTATGCGGTTTCTCCGGGGGGTTGAAGACAGCCGCATGTATCCGGAGTGATGAAAATTTACGGGGGTGAGGAGGAGGGGTCTGAGATTACGTTGTTATAAAATTCACCCCTGCGGAAAAATGCGTTGATTTTTTATAATAAAAAATTTTTTATAATAAATTTTTTTCATAATAATAATAAAAAAATTTTATAATAATTTATAATAAGATTGTTTATAATCTAAAAAAAAAATAATTTCGGGGAAAAAACATGAACATGCGGTTTTCCGCAGGGTTGAAGACAGCCGCATGTATCCGGAGGGGTGAAAATTTACGGCGGTGAAGGGGAGGGATCTGAGATTACATTTTTATAAAATTCACCCCTTCGGAAACATGCGCTGATCTTTTATAATCTAAAAATAATTAATTTCGGGGAAAATACATGAGTATGCGTTTTCTCCGGGGGGTTGAAGACAGCCGCATGTATCCGGAGGGGTGAAAATTTACGGCGGTGAAGGGGAGGGATCTGAGATTACATTTTTATAAAATTCACCCCTTCGGAAACATGCGCTGATCTTTTATAATCTAAAAATAATTAATTTCGGGGAAAATACATGAGTATGCGTTTTCTCCGGGGGGTTGAAGATAGCCGCATCTATCCGGCGGGATGGAAATTTAGGGGGGCGAGGGGGAGGGGTCTGAGATGATATTTTTATAAAACTTAGCCTTTCGGAAACAGGCGCTAATTTTTTATAATTTAAAAAAAAGCATTTCGGGGAAAATACATGATCATGAGGTTTCTCCGGGGGGTTGAAGACAGCCGCATGTATCCGGAGGGTTGAAAATTTAGGGGGATGAGGGGAAGGGGTCAGACATTACATTTTTATAAAATTTACCCCTCCGGAAACATGCGCTGATTTTTAATAATTAAAAAAAAAGAATTTCGGGGAAAATACATGATCATGCGGTTTCTCCGGAGGGTTGAAGACAGCCGCATGTATCCGGAGCGATGAAAATTTACGGGAGTGAGGGGGAGGGGTCTGTGACTACATTGTTATAAAATATACCCCTTCGGAAACATGCACTGATTTTTTTAATTTTTCGAAAAATAAATTTCTGAGAAAATGCATGAGACTGGGTGTTTTCTGGGGGGTTGAAGACACCCGCATATATTCGAAGGGATGAAAATTTAGGGCAGTAAGGGGGAGGGTTCTGATATTACATTTTTATAAAATTTACCCCTCCGAATCCATGCGGCTGTCTTCAACCCCCCGGAGAAACCGCATACTCATGTATTTTCCCCGAAATTCATTGTTTAAAAAATTATAAAAAATCAGTGCATGTGCTCGGAAGTGTAAATTTTATAAAAATGTAATTTCAGACCCCTCCCCCTCGCTCCCTCAATTTTCATCCCACTGGATACATGCGTCTACTTTCCACCCTGACAGTCATCACCATTGAATAATTGAAAATATCAACATTTTTTCAGCTAAAATAAAATAACAAAATGCGCCGCAACACCCCTCGGTCGACCCGTTCGGCAGACGGCTGGCCTGCGACTGCTGCGGCAGCAATCACAGTGCTGTTAACCCGGCCAACCAGGGAGGTCATTTAACGTTAACGCCATCTCGCGGCATTCGTTAATCAGGGATTCTATTGGCATAATTACACTTTCACCCATTTCTGCTAATTAATAGAAAATAACACAATAAACTGTATTAATAGAAACAAATTGATCATCTTTCAACTTTTTAACTATTTTCGGATCCGTACTTATGTCATTTCTGGCCTTTTCCACATTAAAATAACATCCTCGCTATATCTTCATAACATCCTCGTAACAGCCAGGATACTAAGTTGCCATGGTAGGATTTCTATTGAATTTTCTATAAGTTTTTTGCCGTTCCTATTGACATGTTTAATGGAAAATATTCTATAGAAAAAGTCAATAGAATTTCATTTTTCTATAAAACTTATTCGAGAGAGAGGGAGTGACCGTCGTATGTGTTGGACGCGGTTGAGCGTGGGTCTGCGGTTTTTTCGCAATTATTGTGTTTATTCTCGACCAAGTGGGGGCCGAATTGATTGAATAGTGTTCTTAATCACGTTGATCACCCGAGGAAGTGTTATCTCGTGTGGGGGTTTGGGTACCAATAAGATATCCTGGTTTTGGTAATTGGCCGCAGTGTGAGGGTTAGAGTGACCATGGCCGGTGAGGGCGTGAAGGGAGGTAAGGGGAGTGAGTTTGAGCGGGAGAGGCAGGAGGACGCCGCGGGAAGCGGGTTACCCTCACAGCCGGGAGATGGCGCCAGTAGCCAGTGTAACTCGACAGTCAGAGAGGGGAACTCGTCAAGGGCACAAGAGACTCGCACAGCCAGAGGAATGGGAAAGAAGACAAGGGGAAGACCACGAAAAGCGAGGAACACACCGAAAATATCGGATTATTTCCTGAGAAGTAGTGTGCCGGATGTCGCAGCGAATAATGTGGGGGCTAGCAGAGGGGGAGGGAGACCTGACAAGACGGATGGGAGGGCCAAGAGAAGCAACAGTGTTCCAGGGGGGAGTAGAAGAAGCTGGCGAATAGATTATGCATCGGACTGCGAGGAGAGTGAGCTGGTGGACAACCCAGAGCCGCTCGTGATGGGAATGAGACATGAGAAGGAAGGTGAAGATGAGAAACAAGGCGGTAAGGACAGCCTAGGGGGGGTCACAAACCAGTGCGTGGGAAGGACAACTGATGAGGCTGATGACGGGGACGGAGGTGCAAAGGGAAAAGCCCAACCGGCTGGAAGCACCGAGAGGAGGAGATCAAGACCCGAAGTGGTCGAAACGGGGATGAATACAGAGGTAAGCGGCGATTTTGAATGTCAGGAGTGTGGTAAAAGGTCGGCTGGAACTCAATGGATACAGCAAAGGTTCTCAAGCCTGGAGAACAGGCTGAGGGAGCTGACGCACTTGGTTCGAGGCGGAACGAGTCGAAGGGAAGAATGTCCCCCCTCGCAACCGAGAGAGGATGGTGATGAGATCCTACAGGAACTCTCGAACTTGAGGAACGCGACCGAGACGATGAGAAACTGGGTGGCAGAAGGCTTCGATGATCTGAAAAGAGAGTTGGAGCTGACCCTGAGGAGGACACTGGAATCAAGGGAGCCCCGATTGGACCCACTTGAGACGAGGAACTCGCTGGAGGGGAGGGATCAGAGAAGCTGGGATGCAGAAATGTTTGAGCAGGAGGTTGGGGGGACTCAGATCTCTCAGGGGGCTGAGCACAGGAACAACTCACAAGCAGAGTGGGTGGGAACCCACGATGTGAACGCCAATGAGCAGGCTAATCATAGCCGCGGGACGGGTACCACAGAGAATGAGCCTGGCGAGTCTGTCGGAAAGATCTCCGATCCCTTGGATGGACTTGACTGGAGGAAGACGGCCCCGGAGCTGATGGCAGAGGGGGAGTGGAAACGTGAGAAAAAAGAGAGGAACAAGAGGCTGAATGACGTGGTGGTGCGAGGTCTTAACACTCACCACGGAACGGAGGCGTTGGATTTCGTGACCCTAGTTAGGCGTCGCTGTGGGCTGGGTATCCAGGTGATATCGATGGGGAGACAGACCTCAGGCGATCTCCGCTTTTCCCTGAGCACTCACACGCAGAAAAAAGCGCTAGTGAAGGGAAACCACCTGAGGTCGCTGAATGAGATGGGGGTCAGGGTTGACGATGATCTCACCTTGAGACAGCAGAATGTGGCAGAGTGGCTAGAGTCCTTGGCGGATGGTGCCAGGGTCCTTGGACGAGCGGCTCCAGTGCAGAGCTTCCAGCAAAGCATCTGGGTTGACCGAGCCAAGTACCGATGGAACGAGAGAACTGCCGAATTAGAGAGAAGGGACGAGTCGACTGGAGCAGAGAGAGAGGACGCTACGAGAGATGACATCATCAATAGTAGAGATAAGAGTATTGATAAGAGTAACATTAACAATAACAATAATTGACGGGGGGAGGGGGGAGGGAACAATCACATCAGGGCTACCTGCTGGAATGTGGCAGGGTTAAAGGGGAATAAAATTAAGGGGATTTGGAAGGACATAGAAAAATTTGATATAATAGTCCTGTTAGAGACTCATGTAGTTGGAAACAAGCAGGAAGCCCTGATGAAGAGACTGCATAATATAACAAGTGAATTTGATTGGGTGCATCAGGGGGCAATTAAGAGGAAGAAAAAAGGGCGAGGTATGGGGGGGATACTAATAGGGACCAGGAAAAGCCTAGGAGAAGGTATAAAGGTTAGCTCCTGGACTAACGGAGCAGTAATATCAGGAATCAAATTATGGGGAGGGGGGAAATGTCGTCTTATTGCTGGATACAATAATGTGGGATTGGAAAAAATTTTGGAGGAAATTAGGCGCAAAATTGAAGAGGGGAGGGACCAGGGAGAGGCTATCATAGTAATGGGGGATTTGAATGCCAGAATTGGGCAACTGCAGGCCGGAGACGATGTTGAGAATTTCCAGAGAAAGTCCAGGGACAGGGAGGTATTGCGGGGGGGCAGGAGACTCATCGAATTCTGTGATTTGGAGGGGCTAGTAGTGGCCAATGGAGCCATTAAGGGGGACTGGGAGGGTACCGTCACTTACGTGGGGAAGCGGGAGGATGTGGAAGGCTCGGTGATAGATTTGGTCATGTACGAGGGGAGGGCAGACGTGCTTGAGGAAATGAGAGTGTGGCCGACGCTCGATTCAGATCATATGGGTATCGGTTTCACTCTGCATGGACCTGGGGGATCTCGCGAAAAGGTCACAGGGGGGGTTGAAGGGAAAAAGGGGGCATCTGGAGGTCACCCTCCGGTGAATGGCAAGGAGTTCAAACTCGCCTGGAAATCGCAACTGAAGGATACATACCACAACCTTCTTGAGGGTAAGCAAGTGGCTCAGGGCGACGGGGAGGATACAGAGGCGCGATGGGAGCGACTAAAGGAAACAATCGCAGAGGTGGCTTTCGACGTGGGCATGGTAAAGAGGTTGGGGGGGGGACATAAAACCGATGAGAATGCATGGCTAGGGGATGAAGTTAAATTCCAAAGAGCAGAAGTCTTCAAGTGCCTTAAAAAGTACCTGCGAGCTGATGAGAAAGGGGTTAAAACTATGTATAAGACTGAAAGAGCCAAACTGAGGAAAATGACCAAAGAAAGAATGCAAGAAATTAAAGAGGAGAGAGAGAACAGAGTAAGAGCTAGCAGGGGCATGGGGGGTTTTTGGGATGCGATCAATGGTTGTCGCCCGAGAACTGAAAGGAAAGGGAAGGGAATACCGGGGGAGGCATGGGTCGTTCATATGGGCAATATCTTGGGGGGAACGGACCTGACTAGGGACGAAGATCGGGAATGGGAAAAAATGGAAGAGTGGATGGAGGTAGAGGCCCTAGATAGGGACATCAGCTACGCTGAATTTTGCGGGGCGCTGAAGGCCTTGAAAAACGGGAAAGCTGCGGGGGAAGACGAGATCGCCGGAGAATTTCTGAAATATCTCCCGGAAAATTGGAAGGTAGAGCTGTGGAAGGTAACGCAGAAGGGGTGGGAAACGGGTTCATTGATGAAGGGTTGGGAAGTGGCTCGCATATTTCCTATTCATAAGGGGGGGGACGAGAATGACGTGGGAAATTATAGGGGAATATCGTTACTGAACCTAGGGTATAAACTGCTAGCTAGCATTATGGCCGATAGATTGGGGTGTTGGCTGGAGAAGGAGGGCAAGTTGAATGAGAGCCAGGGCGGCTTCCGAAGGCGTAGGGGTACCAGGGAACAGATCTTCATTCTGAATTCACTCATTGGGAACAGCTTTAAGAGGAAGGGGGGTAAACTGTATGCTGCTTTCATCGATTTGAAGGCAGCCTTCGATACAGTAGATAGGGATTTACTATTGGAAAAGATATGGCGGGTAGGAATAAGAGCTCGTTTCTACGACATGATCAAGGCCATATACAGGGTGTCGGAGAACGAAGTCATCACGGGAGAAGGCATCACTGGGAGATTTTCCACGGTACGGGGGGTGAGACAGGGATGTCCTCTAAGCCCGATACTTTTCAACTTGTTTGTTGACGATATTGATGACAAGTGGGAAGGAAAGGGCGAAGGGGGCACGGTATTAGGGGGGGAAAAGGTATTCTGCCTAAAGTATGCGGATGACATCGTGGCGGTCGCGGATGATAAGGCGGGACTGCAGAGCATGCTAAACACGGCCGAAAAGTACTTTCGATCAAATCGACTGGAGATCAACGTGAACAAAACTAAGATTATGGTCTTCAACCGGGGGGGTAGGAAAAAGAAGGGGGAAAAATGGGAAATCTATGGGCGGGAGGTGGAGGTCGTTAGCAGATTCAAGTACTTAGGTTTCTGGTTCTCGGCGAAAAATGCCTATGGAGAGCACATTCGAAAAATGGCGGGGAAGGGGGTGCGCGCGGTAAATGCAGCCTGGGGGGTGGCGACGAGAGCAGGGTTACGCTCGCTGAAGAGTAGGCTGTATGTGCTCAACACCTTAGGGAAATCTGGGGCGCTGTACGGGACGGAGATATGGGGGTTGAGCAAGAGACCGGAAATGGAAAGTGTACACGGGAGGGTGGTCAAGATGGGGATGGGGGTCACGAGGAACACACCAGACTATCTGTGGAGAGCGGAGAGTGGCACGAAGAGTCTCATCTTTGAGACCAGGCGCCGAGCCTTACACTTTCTGGGGGGAGTTAGCAAGTTGGAAAAGGATAGAATGGTGAGGGTTGCTCTCAAGGAGGAACTCAGGGCATTAGGGAACTCGAACCCCACGGCGTGGGGCAAGGAAGTACGTGATGCGCTGAGGGATTGGGGAGGTGAGGAATTTTTGGGAATTTTGGGGGAAGGGACTCTGGAGAGTAAAGATTTTAGGGAAAAGGTGGGGGATTACCTGGAGAGGGGGGAGGAGAAGGTTAGGTCCAAGGATTCGCGTAAAATACGGGAGTCAAAATTTAACCCTGACTACAAGTTTTTGCGCGCGGTGGGGGAAGACTTCTGTTATTGGGAAGAAAAGGGGGTCACCTGGGGGGATAAGGTAATGTGGGCTAGGCTGCGATGTGGGAATCTGGGAAGGGCTGGGAATAAGGGGTATAAAGATATGAGCTGCAGGCTATGTGGGGCAGCGCGGGAAGACCTGGAGCACATCCTAAGCTGCGACATGATTAAGGGGGGGGTCCTCAAAGAAATATGGGATGATTGGAGGGTTTTGGGAAGAGGGGAGACAATTATAGAGCTGCTGGGGGGGGAGCCGATTCCGGAGCTCTGTAAATTTTTCAGAGAATGGGAGAAACTCATGAGGGGAATGGAGGAGGGATAGGCAAGCTTCTGCGTCTACCCGAGCCTCCCTTCTCTATGCTCTCCGCCTCTTATTGTAAGGTGATGGGGGGGTGGAAAATATTTTACGCGCTGCGGCCTACACGACCTACGAGTACTCCCGACAACCGGCCCGACGGCGAGGGGGTGGCGGCCTCGCGTGTCCCGCGGTTAAGGTAACGGCGTTACACCCAGTTACATCGAGGGGTGTCTCCTGTGCCTCTGTGTATTCAAGTCCCTGGATTCCTCAGCGAAAAACGGCCAAGGCTGGGGCAATTTCTACTTTAATTCGTACGATTATAATTTTCTTACTTTCTCTCTTCTGATTTAATAACACTTGTTTGTTTGTTGGTACGCTGTACTATGTAAAATATTGTAAAACGCTGTATACTATTGGAGCATATATGTAGTTCATAAGGGGGAAAGGGGGGAACAAAATGTAAAAACCCGAGAGGGTATACATGAGACAAAATAAATAAATATAAAACTTATTCTATTGAGATATTTTCTATAAAATTTTCTCGGCTCAAATTTTCTGTTTTTTTCATTCAATTTTTATTTTCTTTCCCTCAAGAAAATCAAACAAAAAGACTTAGAAAATTTGAGCCGAAGAAATTCTATAGGAAATCGATTTCTATTGACTTTTTCTATAGAATATTTCCTATCGAACATGTCAATAGAAACTGCGAAAAAATTATAGTAAATTTAATAGAAATCTAATAGAATTTTCTAGCGAATTCGCTTGGATTTTCTATTAAATTTTTTCACACGTGGAGTTAAACTGAAATTTGAATCATCCCATATTTCCATTGAACAAAATATTTTTAATGAAAAGATTTTTATGTTATTAATGAGACGTTAAAAATCAATTGAATCAGTTGTATCAAGACGATTCAAAAATGATATTCTTGAGTGATTCACAAAAGGTATTTCTGTTTTTTTTTCTTTGAAGAATGAAGACACGTGAAATAGACTTGTTTCGATTTTGCTGTATTTTTATTTGGGGCAATGGGGATTTTTTTCGCGAGATTTTCTCGGGGAGGAAGATTCTTAGAAACCTTTAAGATTATTCTGGGGAATGATCCAATTCGATTTCGCCCCACCCTCCGCTCAAAACGATACGACTGAGTCGGAGCTGAGTTTCGAACGTTGAGCCACTGCTCAAGCTCAGGTACCGGGTTGTGCCGTCTTGGCGTTGCGCTCCAAGCTGGTGTGGAGCGGCGTGACTCGCCGTGAACTCGGGTATAGCGTCAAGCCGAGGCTGAGTTCTGAGTACCCGAGTTGCGGCTGAATCCCCGGTCAAATTCCTACACGGGTAAACTCATTCAGTATTGCTAATTGAATATTAGAACTGTAGCTGCTTAAAAATGAAGAATAGATTCCTGGGAACAACGATTTCTATGTGCATACAGACAGTAAAGAAATATCGATACCGCGATATAGCTCTATAACGGCAGAGTGAATTTTCCGTTTCTTTTAAATTAAAACTTTAAATTTATGCTTTAAACTGAGACTTCATTCATTCACATCGTTCTTGTCCATTTTTATTTTTTAAGCGTCAAAATTTTCCATTTTTTAATGCCTATACGCGTGTGACGTATTGAGATCGATCAATACATCGATTAGAATAATGTTAAGAGATATTCGGTCGACATAGTGGATCATGGGAAAGAGGAATATGATTTCTCTTTCCTGCGATCCAAACATGAGCTCAGCAGTCACACGGTGTCGTATACACATCGTGGTAAGCGGTCACATGGTGTCAACTGAGTCCAGCTTCGCTTGAGGAAGCTGTTTGACTGTTTAGGTCTGTGTCAATAATGACACACGACTGTGTTAGTCAGGACGAATCGTGGGACTGCTTGCCCTGCAATTTTGAGCTTTGAGTGTCTGTTTGAAATCAATTACGATTTGATGAGCCGGGTGGTCGGGAGGAAAAGTGAGGTTCGGATTAACGGTTTGATAATTTGCCGGAGGTAATTTGATGAGTTTTCTTTAATAAACAAATTACTATGCACTGAAAATTACACAACACAGAGTTTAATAAATAGATGATTTCCGAGTGGACTGTATACAACTTAACAAAGAAAGATGATTTGCGATTAATATTCGATAATAGTTGCAATGATTTTCCGGCACTTTCACTCGATGATGTTCGATGGCGTACTAAAGATACGACACGCACGATCGTCCTCGTGCGTGTTCGTCGATGCCCGAAGGTTTCCGAGCGAGCCAAATTCGACATTTAGCCCGACTGAGGGATGATTTTCAACATCCCGCCCGCCCTGCGTCACCTCCAGGTGACGATGTACGGCTGATGATTATGATGACGTATCACTGTTGACCTTCCAAAAGGTCGTCGTTGATCGGCAAACGCACCAGCCTGTGGATGGACCGTTGAGTCTCCTGGTTGCCTTTCCTCAGTGTGACAACTCTGGTCAGGTTGTCTTGTCCCGGATGAATTGCGATGACTCGAGCCAGAGGCCACTTGGCTGGTGGCTCCCGCTCGTCAATGATGAGGACCAACGAACCGATTTTTACTTCGTTCGTTGGCTGCTTCCACCGATAGATTTGCTGGTAACGATGAATGCACTCTCGTGCCCAGTGTTCCCAGAAATTCTGAAGCCTCTGGGAGATGATTTGCCATCTGTTCAGTCTTGCTGTGTTGATCTGCTGAAGTGAAGGCTCTGGAATTGTCGTGAGCGCTTCTCCTATGATGAAGTGTCCTGGTGTCAGGGCTGATGTGTCCTGCGGGTCGTTTGTGAGTGGGCAGAGTGGTCGAGAGTTAAGTATGGCCTCGACTTGCGTCAGAAGAGTCGTAAATTCTTCGTACGTCAAGGTCGAGGTTCCGATGACCCTTCGTAGATGATATTTCGTTGATTTCACTGCAGCCTCCCACTTGCCTCCCATGTGCGGCGAGTGAGGAGGGTTGAATTTCCATTTCGTTCCGTCGGATGCTAGCTGATCCCTGATAGTTGCCGATTCGCTTGATGCCTGGTCGAATAACCTTTGAAGTTCTCTCTCTGCCCCGATGAAGTTGACACCCCTGTCGCTGGACAGGGTTGCACAGATGCCCCGTCTCGATGTGAAGCGTTTGTACGCTGCGATGAATCCCTCCGCTGTGAGGTCCGTTACCAGTTCCAGATGTGTTGCTGAAGTAGCAAAACATACAAACAGACAGATGTAAGCCTTGTACATTGTCTTGCTTGCCCCTGATCCTCTCCATCTCAGGATGTTGATTGGGCCTGCGAAGTCTACTCCTGAGTGGAGAAAGACCCTCGATGGTGTCACTCGTCGTGTTGGCAGCTGTCCCATCAGCTGTTGAGCCCTCAATGCTCGATGACGTGCGCAAATTACGCATTTGATGATGTGGGAGCGTACTGGAGCTCGTCCCCCGATGATCCAGTACCTCTGTCTGATGTGTGCCAAAGTTAGTTGAGTTCCTCCATGGAAGCTCCGTTGATGAGCCTCCGCGATGATGAGCGATGATAATGGCGAGTGACGGGGAAGAATGATTGGATTCTTCTCCTCCGGATCCAATGTTGATCGTCTTAGACGTCCGCCCAATCGCATGACGTCGTTATCCAGGTATGGCGTCAACGTTGCCATACGATGATTGGCCGCTAAGGGGTTTCCGTCCCTCAGCGTGTTAACTTCTGCCTCGAAGTAGAGCTGCTGCGTGTATCTGACCCAAAACAGTCTCGCCTCTTCGAGTTCCTCTGGTTCCAATTGTGGAGAATCGGGTAGCGGCTGTCTTCTGAAGCGTTTTGCTGCGCGGTTTACCCAGGCTGTAACCCGCAGTAGCTTTGTGAGTGATGAGTATCTGATGATTAGCGCATTTGCCTCGGCAATCTGCACTGGATGTGAGCTGATGATGGGCGGCCTCGCTTCCTGTGCCGCTTCTGATGATACCTCTTTTGATGATGCTAGGTCCATTGATGATGCTAGCCATTGGTCTGGTGGCAGGACAAGCCATGATGGCCCTGTCCACCATAGATGGTGCTCCGCCAGTTGTTTCGGGGTGAGACCCCTTGATGCGCAGTCCGCCGGATTCTCCTTCCCATTGATGTGTCTCCAAGTTGCAGAGGGCAGGGTATCTCGTATCTTAAGAACCCTGTTCTGTACGAAATCCTTCCAACGGGCAGGGTCCCCGTTGATCCAGGTGATGGCTACCGATGAGTCGCTCCATAGATAAATCTCGATGTTGTCCAATTCCAAAGCCCTTTTGACATAAGCCACGAGTTCTGTGACCATGACTGCTGCCGTGAGCTCCAGTCTTGGAATGGTCTTCTTCTTGAGAGGTGCCACCTTGGTCTTGGCACAAACCAAGGTGACAGACGTTCCCGATGTCGCTGCGGATGTACGGAGATAGACCGATGCGCCCATTGCCAGATTTGATGCGTCCGCAAATCCATGAAGTTGAATTTCCGATGTACCGGGCGATAGATGTAGCCAACGTGGTATTGATAGGCTGCTCAAGTGTTGAAGTTGCTCTCTGAATGATTTCCAGCGATCCTTGTAGTCATCTGGAAGTGGATCGTCCCAGTTAAGTTTGAGCAGCCATAATTCCTGGATGAGTATCTTTGCCGTGACGATCACCGGCGCGATGAGTCCCAATGGATCGTAGATTTGCGCAATCTCGGACAAGGTTACGCGCTTGGTGATGGTGTCCTCGGTGAAAGTCTTTGCTTTATAATGGAAGGTGTCCGTGTGGGGCTGCCAGCATAGTCCCAACACTTTCACCGTTGATTCCTCGAATTCGATGGTTGGAGCTGATCCTGATGATATTCCGAGTCGCTCTAGGGCTTGTGGTGCATTGCTGCACCATTTTTGCAGGGGCATGCCGCCCGCCATGCAAAGTTCGATGAGCTGCTTGATGATGTTTTCCAGATGCTCTTCTGTTTCCGCGCCTCCGTATATGTCGTCAACATACCGTCCCTTGATGAATGTCGGTAAGGCCAACGGGAATCGATGGCCTTCGTCGATGGCCAACTGCTTCAGCAC